TGTGTGTGCGTCTGTCTGTGTGCGTCTGTCTCTGTGTGTATCTGTGTGTGTGTCTGTCTGTGTGTGTATCTGTATGTGTCTGTGTGTGCGGCTGTCTGTGTGTGTATCTGTGTGTGTGTGTGTGTGTGTGTCTGCGTGTGTGTCTGTGTGTTGGGGTGGGAGTGGGGCTTAACTATGCACTTTGAAAAAACGTATGTGTATTTTACTTTTTCTCGTGTTTACTCATATTTGCACGATGCCTACATAGCCTTTGAGATAAATTTCCAAATATAATCTCACTTTCTAATCTGAGAAGGAACTAGAAGTTCCGAGTATGGTTTTTGTGCCAGCCAGCCAAAGTGTCCCAGACGTGTCCATGGCCTGCCTCTCGTGCACAGGTCCGCAGTAGCCGCGGGGCTCCAGGGCTACAATGCCACGCTGGTGGGAATCCTCATCGCCGTCTTTTCAGACCAGGGCGACTATTACTGGTGGCTGTTATTCCCCGTGATCCTTATGTCCATGACGTGGTAAGTGGGACCTGCTTTTCAAAATGCCTACATTTAGATGTTTTTACTTTCAGGCTTTAGCGTACAAAGGAGAGCCCAAGTCTCAAATATAATTAGTTTAAAGAGGACATTGATTATGTTTTAAACAGGACAAAGACACATCACCCAGATAAAGGAGGCCATTAACATGAGGTCATAGTGGCATCCAGGGGGTTCCTGAGATTCACAGGCTTAAAAGGGGCACGGGGGTGGGGGGTGGGGGGGTGGACACACAAAGGAAATTGCCCCCACAGCGTGATTGGTGGCAGATCAGGACATCACAGGTACAGGTGGGACAACAGAAACATGACCATGATTCGGAGACGGACATTATGTTAGACAGAAGCGCTTACAAGATTGGTCCATGACCTGCCTTCCAACCAAGCAGTGAGGGCAAGATTCAAGGCTAAGCAACCCCTGGTAAGGTCATCTTCATCAAGGGCACACCCAGGCTAGCCCAGGGAAACGCCGCTCCCTGGATGGGCGGGGCCTGTGGATGGAGGAGGGAAGAGCAGGGAAGCAGTCCTCTTTCCGATGCACTGCCAGAAAGCAAAACTGTTCGCATTCCCCGTCAATGGGCAGAAGGAATTCGGTGAAGGCTTAGCCCCGTGATGACTCTGCAGAGGGATTTGGGGCTTTCCTTGGTATCTGTAGCCTTCTGGGAAGCAGGTGGTCAGAATTTAAGCTTTAATGCAGGTTATGCCTATATTCTGGGACCAGAACCAATCATTAGTAAAGATGGAAGCATCCTCACCAGCACTTATATGGCCTGAGGTCTGAGCCCTGCACCATGTCTTCCAGTACCTTCCCCTTAGCTCCCTGAGCCAGTTGTCCGTGAGCCAGTTTTGACCCCTGGCCATCCATTCCCAGGTGTGCCGGAGTAGAGCGTGTTCAGTGGGGCTTTCAGTGCTAATTCCGCAGAAGTGGATCTCAAGGTGCCCGGGTGAACTCCAACCTTTTGATTAGAGCTAAATGCATTAACCCTTTATAACACTGGTTCTCAACCTTCCTAATGCCGTGACCCTTTCATAGTTACTCATATTGTGGTGACCACCCCCCCACCATAAAATTATTTTCATTGCTACTTCATCACTGTCGTTTTGCTACTGTGAAAGGGTTGTTCGACCCCCAAAGGGGTCACAACCCACAGGTTGAGAACCGCTGCTTTATAAGGACTCCTCCCCTTAACCTAAGGGTCTCAAATATCCCTCCTTTCACCTCCCTTTGCGCTTTAACATCTGCATCTTAACTTTTCTGAGGAGGATTAAAGCAGGCCTGGTGGCATACATAGCAGGTTTTGAGTTGGGCTGCTAACCATAAGGTTGACAGTTCGAAACCACCAGCCAGTCCGCAGAGTCCCCATGAGTCAGAATTGACTCGATGGCACTGTTTGCTTTTTAAAGTCTTTACAGGAAGTTGTATCTTTCTCCTGAGGAGTGGCTGGCGGGTTTGAACAGCAGATGCTGTGGTTAGCAGCCCAACACCTACTCCACAGTGCCACCGGGGCTCCTGTGAAGTCTCCTAGGGCTGCCTTCACCAAGGCCCACAAAGCGGGGGACTTAAAAGCAGCAGAAAGGTGTTCTCTCACCGTTGTGAAGGCCCGCAGTCCGCAGCCAGGGGTCCGCAGAGCCGGCCTCCCACGGAGCGCTTTAGAGAGAATACTCCCTTCCCTCTCCCAAGCTCTGGTGGCTCTGGTGGCTCCGGCAATCACCGGGGGACCTGAGCTTGTGAGCCAGCCTCTGCCTCTCGGCACACCGTGTTCTCCCTGTGGGTCTCTGTGTCCAACCTACTTCTTGCTCATAGAGACACCAGTCACCCACCGTAGTGTAGTCCAGTCTGCGCTCATGTGAACTTGATTACATCTGCAAAGACCCTCTTTCCAAATAAGGTCACATTCTTGGGTACCCAGAACCTTTCGCTTTGGAAACAGAATCCAGCCCACATCACCCCCGAATCCAGTCCCCCCGCGGCGTCCCAATAAGGTAGCTAAGAGGAGGGACCTGCCCCCAGGTCCCACAGCTTCTCCACAGCACAGGGATGTAACCTCTGCCCTCCTCACCTTCAAAATCGTTGTCTTCCAACCCATGCGGCCTGCACCCTCCCTTGGACAATGATGTCTGTTGTTCAAAGTTAGACGTGCGAATGGCACGTGGGAGGAAGATACCAAGTGCAAGATCCAATACAGGGTCAGAGGGCACTTAACCTCTGTTGGCGGGGAGAGACTGTGACCTGGGGGGCTTTCAGAGGGGACCTTGAGTGTGGAGACAATACTTCATTCCATGTGTATTAAATACCTCCATGTTATTGTTAAAGCTCTGCTATGACCCTCCCTCAGAGTACAACTTTCCAGAGGCAAAATAAGCTGCAGGCTTATTTACTGTGTGGAAGAAATAGCCTCTTCGTGACAGGCTCTGCCCCGGTTTTCTCTCTGTGGGAAGTTTCCCAACACCGTAGCGTCGCAGTGATGGCCTGGGGCCTTGAGTTTGGCTTTCTGAAGGTCACTATTTGCAAAGGAAAGAAAGTCACTCCATAGATCCAGGTTTGATTTGTCCCTGTGGCTTGTCACTTGTGTGTTTTTCAGCCCGATCTTCTCAAGCGCACTGAACTCTGTGTTCTGCAAATGGGACCTCCCAGTGTTCACCCTGCCTTTCAATATGGCCTTGTCTCTCTACCTGGCAGCCACGGGACATTACAATCCCTTCTTTCCAATCAAATTGTTCAAACCGGAAACCTCCGTGCCCATCGTCAACTGGGAAGACCTCAATGCCCTGAAGGTAAGGCACAACCTTCTCCTCCGGGACCAGGAGACACTCCCAGCCCTCTGGGTACTTCCGTGTGGAGCTCCATTAGAGTCTAATATGCTCAGCGCAGGGTGGCCTTTCTTTTGATCTAAAGATAAACTGTGGGTTCGATTCCAGTGTGGTAATGACTGCTTGGTCAAAGCTACCCCCACACCCCCCATCTTTTCCCAGAAATCGGCAGCACTATCCTCAGAAGGTAGTTCTCTTGGAAAGTGGGCCCTGTGTGAACCAAGCACCTGTGCTCACAGGCGAGGCCACCGGTGAGGGAGGAGTCAGGGAAGGCATGTGCATGCGCAGTACGCACCCATCCCTGGTGCCCTTAATTAGTACTGCCATGTTGAAAGACGAGTATACTAAATTGGAAAGTAAACTTTCGGTGTCAGTGGGGTGCCAATCCGAGGCTTTGTTAGAAAAATAAGTAGCTAGAGCTTTACTTCCGAGAATTGCTCGTGCAATGGTGGGGGTTGGGAAGCCCCAGGTGCTGTGGGTCGGGCTGAAGATTCCTGCCAGCTCATGTGGTTGCAAGCCTGTCAAACTACAAATCTTCAGATCAGCTGACAGGCAGGCAGCCTCTGCTGGCTTGGACAATTGTAGGGGTTGGCGAATCCAAAGGCTGCCATCAGACAGCAGGCTGAGGAATTCTGCAGGCTCCCTTCCAAAGACTGAGTGGCCAGACAATGAGAAGAGGCAGGATTGAGGGAGAGCCTTCAATGTCCCTTCCTGGGACGTCCTTTGATACGCCAGACAGCAGGCCACGCCCCACCGAAGAAGCTCCTCTTCCAACTGGTTGGCTGATCACATCGTGAAGATGATTACATTGCATTGGATTTGTGGCAGAGCAATCAGCCCAAGGTCCGAATGGTCTCATTTTCTTAAATTGCTTTTGCAGGTATTGAAATCTCTGCCGGTGGGTGTGGGTCAAATATACGGCTGTGACAACCCATGGACAGGGGGCATCTTCCTGTGTGCCATTCTGCTGTGCTCCCCGCTCCTGTGCCTGCACGCCGCAATCGGATCGCTGCTGGGGATAGTGGCAGGTAAGCAGAAGACTCTTTGCCGGGTATTGGACACGTCCTCTATCCCATGCATGGCCCAGGCCTCCTCAGGATGCTTCCCTGCCCTGCTCCAGCCCCTTCCAGAACGCCCTGCCATTGAGCTTCCGGCCCTGAGCTTTCCTGTCTCATCTCATAGGGTTCAGTCTTTCGGCACCATTTGAGAACATCTACAGTGGACTTTGGGGGTTCAACAGCTCTCTGGCCTGCATGGCAATAGGAGGAATGTTCCTGGCACTCACTTGGCAAACGCACCTCCTGGCTCTGGCCTGCGGTGAGTACCGCAGGCCGCTTGTTGGGGAGCTTGGGAGGGAAGGTGTGCTCATGACAATGGGCTCCGATTCTAAAGCAGATAATACAGAGGGGCTTTCTGCTTCTGTAAAGATGCACAGCCTTGAAAACCCAAAGGGACAGTTCTCCTCTGTCCTGCGGCGATACTACGAGTTGGAATCAACATGAGGACAGTGAGATGGGCTTGGGCTGGGGCTTGGTTTGGGGACAGATGAGGAAACGGAGGTTTAAACCCAGACCAAACCCATTGCTGTGGAGTGGATTCGGATTCAGAGAGAGCCTATAGGACAGAGCAGCATTGCCCTGTAGGGTTCCGAAGGCTGAAACCGTTCTCCTAGCAGATGGCCACTTCACCACGGCCCTGGCAGGGCTCGACTGGAGGTTTTACCCACTGTTGCCAGCTGGGTTCAGACTCTGGCCACCCTACACAGGGGTTCTGAGACGGTAACGCTTTCCAGGAGCAGACAGCCTCATCTACTTGTCTCTGAGAAGCTGGTGGACCGGACCACTGGTCTCGCAGTTAGTAGCGCAACACCTAGCCCCACACAACGAAGGTTCAAAACCACAGCAGCAACCTCACTGCCACTGAGTGGACGCCAACTCACGATGACCCTATCGGACAGAGCAGAACTTGCCCTTTGGATTTTTGAGACACTAAATATTTACAGGAGTAGATAGCCTGGTCTTTCTCCCGGGAAGCAGCTGGTGGCTTAGAACAGCTGGCTTAGTGGTGAGCAACTGACCATGTGACCCACAGCACCACCAGAGCTCCTTACAGTGGAAGGGTAGATGTTAAAGATCTGCAGGAGTTCACCGGGCTCCTCAGTGGTACAGTCAGGATTTGAATCCAAGGCTGCTGACTCCTACTTATAACCACGATGCCTGGCCAGCTGGGAAAGAGCAGAAGCATGCATGCCAGGTGATTCCTATGGGAAAGCGATCTTTGCTGCAACGAGATGCGCATCCACCAAACTTTGTTCTTCCCCTTTGTTTGCAGCCCTGTTCACGGCCTACCTGGGAAGCAGCATGGCACATGCAATGGCGGTGGTGAGTTTGCCTTACTCTCTCTTTCCTCCCTCTTGATCCTCTGCATGATTGTTGGAGAGCTCTAGGCTATAGGACAGCCTCCTGACTTCCACCTGGGTAGAGTCCATGATGGGATCCATGGCTTCTGGCCATCAGTGCTTTCGCTTCTCTTGGAGCCATCTGTTCTCCCTTATCTTCCAGTATCACCAGTAAACTTTGATCCAACCACCAGCAAATTGGTTGCCTTAAAGTTTATGGTCTAACGCTTATTTGTTCCTTAAACTGAAAGCTCAAACTATGTATTTCAGAAATCAGGGAAAAGGGAATCAGCTACAACCCAAGTGTGTGTGCGTGTTTATTAGTCAAAGGTTTTTCTGGTGTGGTTACGTTGGACTTCCCACCTGAAAGATCAGCAGTTTGAAGCCACCAGTTGCTCTACGGCAGAAAGACAGAGCTTTCTACTCCTGTAAAGAGTTAGTCTCTGAGAGGAATTCCCCAGAGGCAGAAGAAGAGCAAGCATGATGGTGGGGCAGGAGGAAGGTAAAAGGAAACAGAGGAAAGATCTAGGAAGCAAAGCTATGGATAGAGGTATAAACATAGGTGTGTACATATACAGTCATTCATAAAAACAGGTATCGGCATATGTACATATATTTATATGGTAATACACTAGGGTAGTGAATGGACTTCAGTCCTCTGCTCATGTCCTCCCTCAATGCAAGAACACTTTGTTTTAACAAACTGGCATTCTGTGATG